TGTGGTAGCACAAGTGTGAAGTTAGACTCGAAACCTAACAAAACCCTGCCTCAAAATTTAAAAAGGGCTGGAGATGTAGCTCTGTGCAAAGGCCCTGAGACTTTGGTATTGGTTTCAATACCCAACACCACCACCACTACAAAAAAAAAAAAAAGTTAACTTAATAAATACCATCTAGGTAAGATTCACAAGCCCTCCAGTTAACATCTCCAATACTAGGAATCATGCTAGGAATGTATTAATCCTAGTGTCTATTATAAATTCTTACATTCCAACCTATATTTAGGAAGATTACAAATTCAAATATTCCCTAAAATGAGAGAAGATAAAGGAAGCTCTGATTAGGAGACTTAAAGTGTGACTGTCAGGTTCAAGTAACCGTAGCCCATATTATTAGGAAATGTATATTATGCGAAAAAAGCAAGAGAATGCCTCAAGAATATGTAATTAATATCATGTTCCTTAATTTCCTTGCCAGCCTACTGGTCGATATTAAGTTCACATGTTGCCAAAGATCTTTCTCCAATTATTACTCTAAGATCTAGGATTTGAACATTTCAATCCTCAAATTAATACATATGTTGTTATTCACCTGTTGCTTTTGATATTATAACCCAAAATCTTCAAAGAATCACGCCAGTCCACGCCGATGTAAAACAATGGCAAAGATTAGGGAATTTTAAGGGAGACACTACACGTTACCTAGTCACTATCTACACCTCTCAGATTAATGGCCCTGGGCCTTTCCTCTCCCACTTGATCAACTCAAGCTGTTCAGGAATACTTCATACATCCACAAGGGATAAGGTGAAAGATGGACTATCAAAAGGGGTTAACCTGCCGGGTTAGAGAGATGAGATCTACTTGGGCATGGTGCCACACACCTGTTTTCCCAGCACTTGGGAGGCTGAGGCAAGAGAATCATCTTGAGTTGGAAGCCAGCCTGGGCTACACACAGTGAGTTCCAGGCCAGCCTGAACTACACAGCAAGACACTGTCTCCAAAAAATCAAAAATAGGGCTGGGGATTTAACTCAGTGGTTCTGCCGCCTGCCTTGCAAGCACAAGGACCCGTGTTTGATCCCCGGAACCCCCCCCCCCAAAAAAAAAGATTGTACTTCAGTGCAGAAGCCCTTGGTTAAATCCCCAGTACCAAAACAAACAAATGAAAGATCAGATCTATTCTTCAGAGGCTTTCATCACCACTACACAAAGAGAAGGTCCCTGTCTCACTGCTTCCACAGCCACCAAAACTCCTAACCATTACCTACAGGAAAGCTTCGATATAACCTGGCTTGGTAGCACACACTTATAATCCAAGCACACTTGGCAGGCTGAAGCAGGAGGATCAAAAGTCTGAGGCCATGCAAGGTCCTGAGTTCGATCCCTGCTACCAAAAAAAAAAGTCCGAGGCCAGCTTGGGCAAGTTCAAGGCTAACCTCCTGGGTTACACAGAGACCCTGTTTCAAAAAAAGGTTGGGGAGGGATATAGCTCAGTGGCACCACGCCTGCCTGGCAAGTGCAAGGTCCTGAGTTCAATCCCCAGTACCAAAAATAAGCTTCACAGGTCACTAGGAATAAACCATACAACAAGACTAATAGGCACTTTCCCCCAAGAACCAGTCTTCTTTAACAGAAACAGAACTTCCTCATGTATCTGTTCGACGTTTAGCCAACAGAAGGGGAACTGCAACTTTGTGTGGCACTGTCTAATGTTGGATTTTTCCTGATCAAGAGGTAATATGGCCTTATGCTAGAACCAGATTTACAGTCAATCTGAGTGTGTCTTTTTATTTTTCTTTCCCTACAAACTACCTCAGAAAATACCTGGTTACTATGCCTTGATATGTAATGATACAGGAATTTAAATATTGCAAAAGTCTGGAAAAGAAAGTGCCTCAGTCCCAGTTATGGCCCAAATCTTATGATTTCTCAGCAATTGTTTTAATCAACCAGAGCTGGTTTGGCTTTTTTCAATGAGCCAAGCAACATGAACCTTTAGAGCTAAGCGAAGAGAGGCTGCTCGTCAGCATGACTCTCAGTGGACTAGCTACATGGAACATGCTCCAGCCTAGAAACCAGGACAGCACACCTGCTGTTTCCCCACACACGCAGTTCCAGCTTTTTTGGGGGGGAGGGGTGTCTATAAATTAAAACAAGAGGCTTGCTTTACATATAACATACAAGATTCCCTGCTAAAAGCTAAGATGAACCCAGTGGTTTCAGCATATGATATCTTTCTTGACAAAATGACACCTCTTCCATCCTGCTCTTCTCTAACTAAAACCCAACAAGTTGGTCCACCTTAACCCAGGTGGAATCAGAAAGGGGGAGGGGCAATCCCCAAATAGGAGGGGACGGTATACAGTTTTTAAAAATATTTTAGGGCTCTAAGATTTAGAAGAAATGCCTCACACCTCTCCCACCACCTTGCGGCTCTACGCTAAACAGAGCAGAAATTACTGCCAGAGCTCAGATCTGAAGAGTTGATCAAAGAACCTGGTTAACATTACTTCTAGACAAGTATTTGAATTCAACTCTATTCAGACCCTATTTCATTACCTCTAAACAGGAAGTTAACAGACATCACAAAGAGTCAGGGGAGGCAAACCACTGTTATAAAGATGGATGCTGCTTTCAACTATAAATCACTCATCTCATCAAGAATATTCTCCACTGGGCTGGGGATTTAGCTCAGTGGTTCCAGAGCCTGCCTCGAAAGCACAAGGTCCCGAGTTCGATCCCTGGTTCCAAAAAAAAAAAAAAAAAAGAATGTTCTCCACTAAGAAATAAAAGGACAAAAGTCTTGGGCAGGGATTTAGCTCAGTGGCACTGGGCCTGCCTGGAAAGTGAAAGGTCCTGTTCGATCCCTGGTACCAAAACCAAAACCAAAGACTATAAACCTGACCTCAGGAAAAAAAAAAAAAAAAACCTGACCTCTTCTCAAACTGGGTCATTCAGCCTACAGGTCTAGCTTTCTGATTCCTGCTGATTAATACTCCCAGCACCAGGAGGCTGAGGCAGGAAGATCACCATAGGTTGGAGGCTAGCCTGGGCTCCGTAGAGAAGTTCAAAGCCAGCCTGGACTATACAGCGAGATCGTGTTTCAAACAAACAAAAAATACTTATCTACCTCATGCCATGATGACTATCACTGCCTCCAGACTGAAAACCACATTCCTCTAAAAACAATAGTCTGACCAAACCAAAAGTCTCAGTTAATTTATTATTCATACAACCTACCTGGTTAAAGAAAAAAAGCCAAAGAAAATCCTGTCCCTGATCCAACCTACGTTCAAACAGCCAGGGACTGATTATCAGTCACCAAAACAGGCAGCACTGTTTCCAACAGGATGAGCCTTCCCTTAAGAATATGCTGAACCCCTCCGTAGGACCTCCTTCAGCGCCTCCAGAGTAGCCTCCTTCCCAATCAAGCACCAGCAGAAATGCTACTCTATGGCAATACTCTATCACAATACTCTATTAAGATTGCCCCAGCATGAAACTATGAATCCAAGTGGTTAGGAGACTCTGAGGAAGCATATATCAAAGAAAGAGCAATAAGTGAACACTAACCTCTCCAACAGGTTAGCTTCCAACAACACACAGACCTCACTGGCCTGAAAACAGCAGTCATGCGCACTGGGGCTGGGACTGGATGGCTGGAGGACACAGGTGGGAGGGAAGGGTTTTTTTCACTTTGCACCATATGCATGCATTGCCATTTCAAAATATAAATTTTTTGAAAAGAAAATGTCTTAAAAGTACAACAGCATCAGCTCTTCTTCAACACAGATCTTAAACCCACTTTGACTCCATCAACTACCAGTCCAATTCCCCTTTTGCAGTCTGGTCTGCAAACACTGCTCTTTCCTTGCCTGAAACCCGTATCCCCACCTCTTCGTATACACAAAAGCCCTCCAAACAATCATTGCTCAGCTGAGAAGACTGGCTCCCAGGAGGCTACCTGATTCTCTAGAGGACAGCAGAAGACAGCTCTGCGTGCACATGCCACCCACCACTGCAGCCCCCGTGTCCACCTCAGTCCCAGCTCCACAGCCTAACCTCGAATTTGGAGGGAAGCTGATGCTAGGAAGAAGCCGCAAAAGCTACAGTACCTTTACGCACCGGGAAAACTGCCCGGGCCGCGAAGGGCAGCTAATGGCACTTGCAGAAGTAGTTAGCTCCTCAGTGTAACTGAGAGGAGGGATGCAAAAAGTACTTTAAATTCCGCTTTGCTCGGGAAGGGCAAGTTCCTGCCCTACCGATCCTCAGGTGCTGGACTGGGAAACAGACCCGTGTGTCCCAGAGCCCAGCTGAGAAAGGGGTGCTTCGGTCGCGACCCAAAATAGAAAAAAGGTGCCCACACAGGCCGGGGCAAAGCGTTCGCCTACGGGAGAGCGAGAGAACGGTGGACGACGGAATGAAGGGGCAAGGGGCAAGGCTGCGCGCTCCCGATCGCGTCACCTCGGCGGAAGCGGCCATCCGCGCGCCCTGCCCCTCGGACCCCGCCTGCCGGTCACCGCCGCGCGCCGGGAGCGGCCCCCGCACGCGAGGGCACCCGGGGGCGCAGTGAAAGGGGGCGCGCTGGAGAGGCGACCCGGGCGCATGGCGGGCAGAGGCGGGGAATGAAAGCAGGGATGGCGGGGAAGCGGAGCGCGAGGGAGGGCGGGCGAGCCGGGAGGAAGGCGGACTGGCGCCGGGGCGCGCGAGGGAGGAAGGCGGGGCGC